GGCTAGCAGGGGCTGACCCCCAAAATCTCAATTTTTCCTTTTGGTTTAGCGTGAGGCAAAGCGACGGCGAGGAGAGGGCGAAGGGCGGCGGACAGGTAAGAGCGGAACACGCCAGGCCTCCTCTCGGCTCTTTCCCCCCCCCCCCGCGCCGGCGGCGCGGGTCAAAAATCTCAATTTTTCCTTTTGGTTTAGCGTGAGGCAAAGCGACGGCGAGGAGAGGGCGAAGGGCGGCGGACAGGTAAGAGCGGAACACGCCAGGCCTCCTCTCGGCTCTTTCCCCCCACCCAGGCGCCACGTTCGGGCTTGCTTTGCCTTCCCCAAAAAGTGCCCTCTTTGGAAACCGCCCCGACGGGTGGAACGCGTCCCCTTTGCTCAAAACCCTTCGTCCCCTTCTGCCTTGAGCTTTGACTTCAGCGTTGCTTCCTGCGGCTTAAAAACGGGCAGACTAAAAAGAGCTCGTTGTGACCTTAAGTCTGTGCACGTGTGTCTGGTGCCCGTACCAGGCTTCCTAAGAAAGCGAATTCTTGTCTGACTTTTTCCCTTGTTCCCACGCGGACCTCTTGAAGGCCTTGCTCTGTAAACCCGCCTCATTTTTCCGTTGAGTTATTGGGAATTTGAAGCAGGCGAAGAATCGCAGCGTTGAATAAAAAGCTCTGTGGCTGGGTGTTTTGGCTTGGCCTCGCCGTAGGCCGAATCTTGTGTTCGCGCGTCGGCGCAGACAGAAGCAGCGCTCGTTTTTCCTGCAGCACAGATTCCCGCTCGGTTTCAAGCCTCGCCCTGCCTTGGTTGTTAAGACGGAAAGGTTGGCTCTCATGATCCGTGCAGGCCTGCTTCAGTTGCAGCGCTCGTGCATAGTGACAGCGTTTGGGACTCGGCCAAAGATAATGAGTTAATTTCCTTTCAGATTCTTCTAGGAGAAACGTAGGAAATTCTAAATTCCGATGTAATGTTTGTCTTAGCCTGTTGTCTTAAAGTAACTGATTTAAAAGAAGAAGGCGACCTATGAATTATGCCCCCAGTGATGGTAGTTCTTCTCAGCACTCGAATTAAAGTAGTGGATGAGTATTGAATGTATGCTGGCTTCTTCATATAATTGCCTCTGCATTTTGAGCTTTTTCATTGGACTTGCATGTCGAAATGCTGGAGTTTCCAGCCTGTGACATATGCACTGCTAGTAGGAATGCAAGGCACGCAGACCGAGGGAGCCGGGATCTGCTGCTTGTTACAGTGGTGCTGAGAGCTTCTGCCAGGGTTGATGATGGCTGGTCCCAACAAAAAAGGTTTATGGGCTCCCGCTTTTCAGTGCGCGCTCACTACCAGAAACTCAGCTTTCCAATCTCTAGACATTGAAAGTGATTCATGACACCTTATGGTGCTGCAATATCCTTTACCATTAGTCCATTGAGATCCGGTTAGTTACACTGCAGCTGGGTACAGTAGCATGCTTAAGGAACGGCTCGACCCAGAAGACGGCTGTTATGGAGCAGCCCCTCCCTCACTGAAGAGCACTGAGTTGGGAAAACACAGTTTTTAATTGACTTAAACTTCAAACGTTCAGGTCCGCTGGCGTCTGAGCGTGGCTTTGCTTGTATATCAGCTGCCGAACATGGAGGCGGTCAAAGGACAGCTACAGTGACTTCCTCATCTCCTGCCCGTTTCTTAGGTGATGAATCTGCAGAGAGAATGTGACTTGTAAATTATACGAGGTGGTATTGCGCAAGCATTGCAGTTCTGTTCGGCCCGTTTCGTATAGTTATGGCAAGTCTTTGTAAGAATACGTTCTTGTGTGACCTTCAGCATTAATGTGGCATATGCTCTTGTTTAGGCATTTGGTTTTCGTTTAGCTATGTCTTTGTATTTCAGGGTTTTTCAAAGCTGTCTCAATTGTGTAGGTCCTCACCGGATGTGTCTTTATTCTATTAAATATGGAATTATTGTGGTTAAACTTTCTTCCGTGAAGAAAGTTTATTCAGTCTTGGCAACTTGCTTATCATTTAAAGATACAGCAGTTCCTTGCTAACATCTGTTTTGGAAGCACATAGCATACGTTCAGTGTTAATTATGCTCTCTTATTTCAAGCTGAAGCGAAGGGAGTCACATTTTACCATCTCTCTTTTTCCTTAGCTAGCCTTTCTTGCCCTCTGCTGTGCTATTCAGCTTTTAGCATTGGATCAAGAAGCTCATTCTCACATTGAACAGGAGCTAGTTGTACCTTGAAGGCTTTGAGATAAATATTAACTAATTTCTTAGTTGTGGAGGAGGAAGGAGAGCCTTGCAGGCTTACTCAGACGCTGCAGGAAATCATCTTGTAGTTTTAGGAATGAAAGTGATGAAAGACAACATTGTGATAGGAAAATCGAGCCAAGGAACTGCAGAGTCTGATGTTTGTGCTGTCTCTGACTTACTGTCGACTAAATCCCTGGTATGTTCCAGACACTTAGAGGAGGAAGAATGGAAAGCTGCCTCTTATCATGTAAGTGCCCTTCTCTGCTTTTCTTGATGGGACTTGCATTCACAGCATGGCCAGTTGCTGCAGAGTGCCCTTTGAAGTTTTTTCCATGTGGCAGTGGTGCCAGGCTCTGAGATAATGCTGCTTAATTGCAGTTACCTCGACCAGAACGTGTTCGCGCTTGCGCGACCTGTCCCCCTGGAGAGCAGACCTTCTCCCCAGGCCTGAATCCTGGAGCTTTAAATATCTTGACTGGATTTCTCGTTAAGGCTCGTTCTTAAAAGAAATAATCTGTAGCTAGAAAGAGCTTGACTGTTGTTAGGGGCTTTTTTGTAAATAGGATAAGACAAGATATGATTTCTGCCTTTTTCGTCCTTTTTTAGTGATTTGCGGCAAAGAGAAAGGAAGGTTCAAGGTCATGATATTAGAAAACTCTTTCTTGATAACTATGATTGTAAAGGACAGTGTTTTCCAAGGTCAGGCGACTTTTAAAATGTCCTTTACAGTCGCCTAGAAACTGAGTTCACTTCTCCATTGCATGCTGTTTAAAACACTATTTATGTGTAAGATGAGTGAAATGCAGGCAATAATCAGTTATTTAGCTAGATTTTGAACTAGCGAAACATAGGAATGCCTGAGTACCAATTGAAGAACAGGCTTGTTATTTGTGAGTTAGAGAGCTGATAACTCACAGTGTAAAACTATTGCAAACTTAAATTATATTCCTAAACGAAACTAGTGTTTTGGGAAGTGGTTTATGTGTGATTGTTACGCGTGCCGCCTAGACTGAAGAGAGAATTGAGGCAGACCTGTTCGGCGCTTGCAGTTCTGCATGTTGCCTTGTATGAACTTTTCTGTTACATGTTTTGGTTAAGTTAGGGTGCGTGCTTTAATTCTTAGCTCATCCAAAATGTTTGATCTAAAACTCGGCTGGCTTTCTGGAGCAGTCTGTTCTTCTAGAAGTAAATCTAGCTGATCGAAATGAGAGGTCTTACCGTCCTGAAAGGACGAAAGTATTATTTTTCTTGCTGTTTGCTGTTCTGACTGTGTTTGGCTATGTTCATTCAGGGCGAGTTTGATTTTGCTGCCTGATGGATCATATGGCTAACTCGTGCCAAAACGGATAGTCCTGAGTTCCTCCTGCTTCCCCACCCTGGCTAAACAAAGGGGAACAGTAGTCGCTGTTTTGGGGCACGTGCTTTTTGACGGTTTAACTGCCTGAAATAGCTCACCACAGGGCCTGACAGTTGCTCGTGTTGGCTTGTGGGGGGCATGGGGCTCTAGGGGAGAGGGGACAGCCCCTTTTGAGGGCAGTGAGTTGGTAGAACAGCATAAAAGTACTGTCAGACTCCACCTCAGGTGAGAAGAAAAACACAGGGTACAATGTTCAGAAGTGCATGTGGTGGAGGAGGCGCAGGGCTCTGAGGTGCAAGCGTGGAGTGTATAAAACTGGGAGGCAGAGCAGCTGGCTGCAGCCTGACTCCTAATTTGCTAAATGCTTTTGAAACTTTTATCCTAAATGTTATTACCGGTTGCTTTGGCGGTTTCATTTTTTTCAAAACTCTGCTCCCTTATTCTAAAAGGGCTCGAAAGTAACAGGCAGCACGTTTTAACTGGTATCTCCGCAGACAAACTGTGAAGACCAGCTATCCTGCCTCACCTCTCTGAGTGTTTCGTTAATTATGTAAGTTTTCAGAAGTGGTTAGAAACGTAAGATTGGCCAGCACGCTCTGGCATAGCGTTTGTGAGAGCGTGTTTGTCCTGTTTTCATTATCTGGTATTAAAATATTGTGATTATCTAGATTACTGGGACTATTCCTGAAATGATACCTGCAAACACTTACTGCACAACTGAGGTTTCTACCTCTAAAGAATTTTTGTGTGTTACATTTTAGTATTACTGGTTTGCTCCAGGAGTTAGTGAAGCGATGACAGGCATCTCATTTGTAGATCAAGCGCTCAGATCTCACTGAGGCTGAATGGCTGCAAAAGGCTGTGATACCTGTAAAAAGCTGAGATTTCAGGCCAGCAGCTGCTGTACAAGGTTTCCATTCGGCAAAAGCCTGCTGCTCGCAAACCAGAATTTTTGTTAGACTCTTTGTCAGAATTGGCAAGAAAAATAGATAAGGCTGAATAGGTGTCTCTGCTTTCTTTTCCTCTTAATAGCCTTATTTTGGAGAAGCAAAGTGGGAGAGGAAAATTTGCTGGCAGACCTTTTGTATTTTATGTAATGGGCTATTGAAAGAATTTTCAACAATATACCTTCCTTTCTATCAGCTTTAAGGTCATATCCCTCAGAGTCTAGATGTATGGCGAGTTGGATAATCCTTCTCTCATCACTTGAGAATGAAATGCTCTCAGTAGCCTTTTGTAGCCAACAAAAATCTTTTTGTGCTTCTTCCCTCCTGCTGTTTCTAAAGCAGCAAGTTTGTTCACACACATCATCTTGGGAAGGGGCCAGTGCTGCTCTGAGAGGCAGATTCTCAAACAAAGATGAATGGCCAAGGTAAAATGAAGGGTTTGGCGAATATTCAGACGCTCTTAGTAATACTAATGGCAGGATCCCGTGGAGGTGGCCTGGACAGCTGCAAGGGAGAAGATGGCTGTACGGGGATAACGTCGTGCCCGTACCCTAGCCGATTCTGCGTTTCAGCACCCACCCGCTCGACTGGGCTGACATCAGCCACTGCACTTGGGGAAATGGCAAAGGATGCTGTGTCGAGGGTATCTTCCTTTCAGTGTCTTCCAAACAGCTGCTCGGCCGATGGCGGTTACAAGCCATTGGATGTGTAACAGACGCCCATGGGAAGTCCCTTTAGTACCCTGTTGTACAGAACAGCTATATAATCTTAGGAAACTTTGTTGTAAAAGAAGTTGAGGAGGTGGACAAGCTCCAAGGTGCAGAGTTCAAAAACAAAACAGTGCAATTCTTGGCCAAAAGGTGATGTCATAAAGATAACAAAAGCAAGTGTTTATTCGTCCATTACAAAGCTGGCTCTACAAAAACCTGTGGTCTGTTCCACGTCATATTGCATATGTGTAGTGACTTTGCTTCTGGTGACTTTGTCTACTATAGAAACTGGATGGCTTCTACGGTGAGCCTGGGTAAAGAATCATTATTGGAAGATGGAATGCCACCTACAAAAAAGCCCAGGTAAATGTAATTATACTCCAGTGGATTTCTTCTGATAAGAGCTTTTTCCATAACCTTGCATTTTTCTTTAAAGAGAATGACACTTGGCACAAAATCATAGCAACCATTTCAGTTGCTGATCCAAGAAAAGTCTGCTGTCTCTAACTGTGCCTGCAACTAGTGTTTTCCTGTGGTGTGTGGGACAAAGGCCTTAATGCTGAGAGCGTACTGAGGAATTGCTTTGTTGCTGATTTTGTTAACCCTTTCATCAGGCTGCATGGATGCATAGAAAGCTGCTTTTTTTTTTTTAACTGTACTTTCTCCATGTTATTGTTTAGTGTTAAACCTAGCTCAGGTCCTGTCCACACAGAGCGTCGCTTATGTCAGATGTGCTTCTTAACTTCAGTTGGATGGCAGTTCCTGGGAGGACAGGCAGTTATTGGAATTAATATGACTTTGCTGTGTGTAAAGGCTAAATAGTTCCAGTGTAGAGGCTTCCTATACTAATTAGCAAGTCATCTTATATTTCTCTAAAGGAGTGTCATGCTCAAAACAGAGCAGATCCCACCTTGGGGTGTTCTTCCATTACTTTCCATTGAAGATTGTTCTCTGCTGGATACACCCAGAGGTGATACTGTGGCTGCTGAGATAACGGGGACTTAGCTCTGAAATTAAGACATAAACGGAGATCACCAGCCTCTGCAGATGAGCAGCTCAATTCAACTAGGGAGTTGTCGTCCACTAATCTGATTTATTTATGAGTTGGAGGGCTGGAGTATACTTTCTCTCTGTGAGGGAGCCTTTGTCTCATGGTTGGTCCAGTGATGTGAAATGAGCAGAAGAGAGGCTGGGAGTTGTTTCTGCTTTGCTCTGGATGTGATGGTAGAAACAAATACATTTTATCAGCGTGGGAAAGGAATGTCTCTTTCGGAGTGGTTGCATAAAACGTTAGTTAGACTTAGGTATTTTTATTCCTGGATTTTGGGTTTCATTCCATAAGGTTCTAGTTGTGATTTTATACTAGTGCTTTAACATGAATATTAGTTTTATTCTTCACAGGTGAGATTTTCAGTCCCCGCAAAAAACATTAAATCTAGACTTGATTTACAGTAAGTAATAGTGAAAACTTTCTAAATAAAAGGGTTAACTTGGTTGTTTTCTTAGGTGGTAGCGGAGGGAAGGCAAAGCTCCATCTGTGTGGTGTCTGTTTCCTTTTCCGTTCTTGCTAAATATCACATGCTTGCAGATAAAAAGCATTCCTTCCAAGTGAGCTGCCTCCCAGAGCTACTTTTCTGCTTAATGGCAGAGATTCTCTGGGAAACTGTAGTCATTCCCCTGCTTTATGAAAGCGGCTCACCACCAAGCTGCATTAGGCACAGTATGATGAGGGAGAAGTACATCCACTTAATGAAATGTTGATAACATCAAATTTAAAAACACTGTGCAGGTATAAAGCCAGAAAAATGAGGAGGAGAGGAGGGGGAGGAAGAGACAAGGAGAGTATATGCATAGAGCCCTTTCATTAGCAGCTTCTTGTGGTCCAGGCTTCAAAAAGATTGGCCTCGAGTGTCCCACTTACGTTGAAAGTGCGCCAGAAGTCCCTTCCCTGTTCCAGCAATGTCCCAGCTTAGCAGTCTTCTCAGCAAAGGCCAGCAGTGACTGGGGTGTGGAAAGGGCCTTTCCAGGGCAGAGTGCTGGGAGAAAGCCTTCGCTTCCTTTCCTTTGTGCTAGTGTAAATAAGGCTGCTGTCTTGAGGGCTCTGTTTGGCACCTGTCACTTAAAGGCAGAGAAAGCTTAGCGGGTTCAGGCACCTATTTGAACCGAGTGCGGGTATAGTTGTGTTTACTCCTCCTTGCAAGATCTCGCATCCGAGCCTTAGGACAGGGCCTTAAATTGGCCAATATATTAAAAATCTATGTGCATCTCTACAGCCACTGATGACATTATTCCGTGTTGCTCACTGCATCTCTTCCAGTGTCTCTAGTCTTTCAGTTAGGTTTCCAGATCAAAGTTATTAGCAAGACTTCTGGCACTCCCGTCTAGCAAAATTTAATTGAATTAGCTTTGCCTCAGAGGTATTCCTGGGTAGTACTGGCTTTTCCCAATAACTATCTTGGTGAAGGACTAGACTGAGAAATAGGCTGCAGTTAGGTACGTTGTAGTTGTGGGTGTTTGTGATAGTGCTCTGTGGAGCTGTGCACTGCCCTTAAGGGATATCGAATAGCCTCTCCTTCTGTTTATCAGAGAACCCTAATGGAGACGTTGATTCAAACTTCAGGTAAAGAGTACCTCCCTTGTCTGTGGGTCCCATGACCCAAGACATCCTTTTATTTGTGCTGGTACCAGTTGTCCAATTTTTCTCCTGTTGCAGGAAGCTGTTGCCAAGCCTGAAAACCAAGAAGCCTCGGGAGCTTGTTTTGGTGATTGGGACAGGAATTAGTGCTGCAGTTGCTCCCCAAGTCCCTGCGCTGAAGTCTTGGAAAGGGTTAATCCAGGCCCTCCTGGATGCCGCTATTGACTTTGATCTTCTGGAAGATGAAGAGAGCAAAAGGTTTCAGAAATGTCTCCATGAAGACAAGAACTTGGTTCATGTTGCCCATGACCTTATCCAAAAACTGTCTCCGGTGAGTGTGCTTGTAGCACTGAACATAAACGTCCCAGGGTCCCACCCTGAGCTAAGCATTTGGCTTTTGGAAATAGGTCCGTTCTCCAGCGTGCCCCTGAAAGAAAGAGCTGAAAGAAAGGCCAGCCCCAACAATTCCTGTATTTGCACGGAACTGAGCAAGTGCAGTTACTGCATCATGTTCCTGAGATGGTGTTTTGGGCTATCAGAGGCCTGGTCACTCTGACCCACATCTGGATTTCTGTGGGCTGATACACTGTCAGGAACAAACAGGAGTTCAAACAGCTGTCTGAATGTTCCCTGTAATATCTGTGTGCCCTATTGTGTCTGCTCAGTTCTCCCTCTCTGGCTTTGAAGAGGCAAAACTTTGCCGTGCATACCAGCTTCTGGATGTTTCATGGGTGCTGGGGAGCGTATCCACCTCAGCGTGGTATATAAAGAGGGCCAGGGGTGATCCCGCTGTCCGGCTGCGAAGAGTGGTGCTCTTCTATTTCCAGCCTCCAGAGCGGAGCTTAGTTGATAAGTGTGGAAGGAGAAGCGTTCTGATGCAACGCTTTTTTTTCAACCATTCTTATGTTCTTGTGTTTTGACCTGAACAAATTCCGATATAAGTGCCCGCTGTTTGCCTTGCAAGCAATACGGACCTATAGCTTTGCAGAGCTCTTCCAGAAGTATGCGTGTAGTTTTCATACATTCGTTTTGCATGAAGTATTAAAAGAAACCAGACTCTGACCTTAATCTCTCTCCCCTTCTCAGCGCACAAGCAATGTTCGCTCAACATTTTTCAAAGACTGTTTATATGAGGTGTTTGATGACCTGGAATCTAAAATGGAAGATTCTGGGAAACAGCTGCTTCAGTCTGTGCTGCACTTAATGGAAAATGGGGCACTGGTATTAACCACAAACTTTGATAACCTGCTGGAACTGTATGCAGCACACCAGGGGAAGCATCTGGAGTCTCTTGACCTTACTGATGAAAAAAAGGTAAATAAGCGATGATGATTTTTTTTATTGTCAGGGCTGAGCTGGAACAACCTAAGACACTGGTGGCTGCAGGATGTGCCCTTATGCCCATGTAAGGGGATTGAACTGTTAATAGTAATTTAGATGGGTTAGGCAAGCTCCAAACAGAGACTCTGATAATTTGGGGCAGTGAGCAGAGGAATTAAGATGAGTGCTTCCTTCTGAAATGCTGTGCTTACTGGCTGGCATCCATTGCTCAGGAGGAGCCTTCAAGTCTAGTATTTCTTTGATCTGTGCTTGAAAGTTCTGGCTTGGTCTTGCTGAAGTCCTGTAAGTCTTGCTTCCACATAAGGCTTGGATTAGCAATTCTAACCAACCCAGGAAACTTATGTGCATGAAACAAAGCTGACCTTTCTATTTTTATGATATGCTGCTGAATGCTTTTTGTGATACAGCGTTCACAGGGCTCCAGCCTTCAAGACAGCACGCTCTAACTCCTCGGCGCTTTCATCCTCCCCCCTTTCCCGTTACCTTGCGTCCTCCGTCTGAAATTGCTGAGTGGCTCCGTGTGGGATACGCTGTCTGCTCAGAGCTTTCTCTCTGACTTGCTCTGACACGTTGTCGGATTTCTAACTGCTTGCTTCAAACAAACATCCCTCCTCGTCCTTCTGCCCCAAGTCTTCAATCAGGCAGCAAATCGGACTGTCTGATGCTATAGCCTGAGCTCTTTCACCACCGCCTGCCCTTTTGACCCACTTCATCTTTACACTATGGGTTTTAGTTTCAGCGAGCATGTTATTTTTCTATTTGTTATTACTATTTCTCTTGTATGTCTGTTCCTAAACACCTGCCACCTTGTAGATGCTACAGAGTACTTTGCCTCTTTCCATACTGATTCATTTCTGTATTTTGCATTTCCTGCATGACCTCTTAATCTGTATAGCTGCAAGTACTTACAACGGCACAAATAAGCCTCCTAATTATTGCAAGCTTAAATGACCTAAGATCTGTAGGAGTAAACTGAGAGCCTAAGAAGTGGCTTTTTGAAATGAAGATCAGCTGTTGAGCTTTCTCAGATCTTCTCAGACTATAGAGCAGCTGAGGAATAAACTTTGTAGACTTGAGAAACGTGCTAAAATAGTATTTGGAGTTTTCTGCTTTTTCTGCTGGGTACAGTATTCTGAGTCAATCTCTTTCCATCAGCAGCAGGCATTAGCCATTCAGCTGAAGTGCTGAACCAAAGTAGTGTGCTGGCGCAGCTGCAGGCTGTGGTGTACAGGCTGCGGTAGTCATCATCTCTTGAGCAGATACAGCGGAACATGAAGAAGAAGCTGCCCCTTTGAAAAGCTTCTCCAAAAAATGTATTTTTAACAGCACGTATCTCAAAACTCAAAGAGGTAGGAAGCAAGTCCTAGAACAGGAGAGACAGGAGACCTTAGTGAAGAATACCCTCCTAGCAATGCAATACTAAATCTCTGTGGAAGCTAACTTGATGGACTTGCTAACGTTTCTTGAGCGGTTTGCTTTGTGCAGGTGCTGGAATGGGCGCAGGAGAAGAGGAAGCTCAGCGTCCTGCACATCCACGGTGTTTACACAAATCCTAGTGGAATAGTGCTGCATCCGGCTGGCTACCAGAACGTACTGCGCAACACTGAGGTTATGGTGAGACAGCCTGTGGCTTCTCTTTGGGGGGGGGGCATGCAAGCAGAACCTGCTGAGCTTGTTTGGCTTTTTCCTTTAGCCTCAGCGAGGCAGGAGACTTTGCTTTAACAATAAGGTACTGATTTTTGCAAAGTTAAAAAACGTTCCTGTAAAGACTAAGACGCTGGAAATGGACTGAGCATACTATCGCTTACCGCGTCATCTGGCTGGACCATCGCGATAACAATTCTCTCCTGCCAGAGACAGAATGGGTGAGATGTGGCTCCTTACTAGATCAGTGGGTTGGGCACTAGTTTTCGTAAGGAATTAGAATCTAGAATGTGCCGCTGAGCTTGCAGGAACGTCTCACAGAAAGAAATGCTCAGATTCCCAGTGCCACGGGGGGTAGTGTTTTTCAGCTAGACCTGGCTGTCCCCAGTCACTCTTCACTTTCAGCTGAGTAGCAAAGAGCAGTTTCCCGTCTGCCCTGGCACTAAACCTTGTGATTGTTCCAGCTACCTGAAATACTCACTGACTTGAGGTTGCGTATTTTGAAGACCTTGTATATAAGTCTCCTTTATCCCATTCTAGCTCCTGGCAGTCCTATATGCTAACTGGACATAGCTTCTGCTGAGCTTAACTAATGAGTTTGAAGAAGGGACTTCACACGGGCTAACGTGAGAGTCCTTAAGTTTGTTAAATAGGAGAAAGGGGACAAATTATTGAGACTGGAACAACTCGTCTTTAGCCCACTTAAACCGCAAAAACCCCTTACTCCCTTTCTGTTTAGGATGAAAGAGCGATGACGCTCCTAAAGAGTCTGATCTATGCTAAGCCAATTATTGTACCTTGTACCCTGTGAAGACTCAGATAAAACTTGCTTTTACTAAGAACATCTTTCCTTTTTAAAGCGAGAGATTCAGAAGCTGTATGAAAACAAGTCATTCCTGTTCTTGGGCTGTGGTTGGACTGTTGATGACACCACGTTTCAGGCCCTGTTTTTAGAAGCTGTGAAGCACAAGTCAGATCTGGAGCACTTTATGCTCGTACGGAGAGGAGATGTGGATGAGTTTAAGAAGCTTCGTGAGAACATGCTGGACAAAGGGATTAAAGTGATTTCCTATGGAGATGAATATACAGACTTACCCGAGTACTTTGAGAGACTGACGAGCGAGATCTCCATGCGGGGTCGAACAGGTACAGGGGTTACAGGCTATGTTGGATGGTCGTACGTGTATATCCACGGTCCCAGCACTTACCTCAGGGATCCTGTCGTACGACAGCACAGCAAGTTCTCGAATGTTACTGTAGAGTTTAAGCTGATTGTAGACAGTATCAACACCTCCCTTTTCTCTATATTATTATTTCATTAAGCTTTTTTTTTTTTTCCTCCAAAATTGGCTGCGCGTGTAGTTGGACTTTGGGTTTACTTTCATGCAAGTTTAATCGCTGCATGTTCCTATAGCTAAAACAGCCCTGCTGCTTCCCACACATCCAGACATAATTTTTACTGTGAAATTGGACTTTTTTACTTCCTTTCCACAGAAAGGAAAGGGTATTTCAGTCCAGTCGTTTGGTCTAAGTGACCTGCATGCTACTCAGACCGAGCTAATGCTTTAACATGTAAGAGGTCTCACCAATAAATCTTAAAAAGCAGGGGAAAAAATTAATTTGCTAGCCATAGCCTTGCTGGCATGTGTTCTGAATGTAAAACCCAGCCAGGCACACTTGTCATGTGAGACTGCTGAGCGCTGAAGTGCTACATTTGGATTCCTGGCACTGATCAATCCTGACGCGCTCTCAGCAGCTCCCTTTGCTATTTAAAACAAGCTGGAAGCAGCCCTTGTGATCTGCTCTCTGCCCAGCTCCAAGCAAGTGCCACTTAAGGTAACTAACACCTCTGTCTTAATCCTATCAGGGCAGGGCTGGCACTGCGGGGCTCTGGCTGTGAGAAGGGCAGGGAGGATGCTGGCGCGCAGTGCTTTTGCCTTGTGGGGTGCCCTGCTCTCTGCCTGCGGTGCAAGCGTAGGAGCTCCCCTTCTCTGAAGCGTCACCTTCCAGGAGGCACAAGGGTTCGGTGCTTCTGGTGCTTTCTTGCCTTTCTGCATGGTAGTTACCCTCTGCTCTCCCCCAGGTGTGCCTAAAGAGGGACAACAGCTGAATGGCTCTGCTGCTGCCCATGCTGAGATAAAAGGTAAGACTTGTGCCTGAGCTTAGCGAGCTAGAGGCTTCCTCTGCGCCAGGGTGGAAGCGGTGCGTTGGGGTGCAGAGCTGGGGCATTGCTGCCTGCCCTTCAAACGTAGAGCTGAGGTCAATCTGTCTTACGCGAGGCGACTGCAAAGCCAGCCTGCGCTTAAATTTTCAAATGAAACCCGGCTTTGGGCTGGGAGCGCTCAGAAGCTGAAGCCCCCACAGAAAAGCATTGTAACATGAGGCTTAACAGCTGCAGCAGCCCAGCAGGGCACGGCCAGCCCTGCAGGCCAGGTCACACCTGCAGCAGGGCTTAGCCTTGCCCCTTCTAGCCCCGTTGCGCAGTTTGCGACTCCCTGGGTGCCCCTTGTGCCGCAGTGACTCGGGCAGCTTTTGAAGAGCCTTTAACTTCACACAGGATGCAGCACTTGAGCCTCGGCCTTGCCCCAAGATCTGTGCTGCAGGCTACTCCCTAGGACGAGTTTAAGCCAGAGCCAGCAGCTCCAAGGGAGGCCTGCGAATGTTAAGGCCAGTCCAGAGGAGGAGCGAAGCCCGCTCCTGTGCAGCTGCCGCTCTCATCCTTGCATACCGAGCCTAGCAGTGATGCTTCAGGCACCATCGAGGCCGGGGCAGAGCCTCCTCAGACTGACGCCTGGGTTGATGTCGTAGTTGTATTTGCTGGGGGAGGGTGGTCTCTCCTGCT